CCAAAGGTGAAAAGCTGCTGGAGCCATCCACATCAACAAAAGAGGAGCAGGTCTTTTGTAAAACTAACGGCTCTTTATTGTTTGCCCAAATTCTATGAGGCCCAAATCCTCAGATACGTTGCATGACGGTAAAGACGACTTGCAGCGGTCCACTTTTTGTAGGGAAATTGGCTTCTGCCCCAAGAAGAGGGCAGCTAAGCTCTGAGGGAAGAGGGAAGATTCGGGGTGGCCGTGGATGATGCCATGATCACTGCTGCTCAGCTTGCAAGCCCCGAGTCGCCTCTCCCACTCTCCCCCAGGACCCTGGTGCTGAAGGTTGCGGTGTCAGGGTTAAGGGGGGTCCAGACAAGAAATGTGTTTCTCTTCAGTCCCTTTTTATCCTGGCCACTTTGCTATCCAGCCAGCTAATATCTCATTTAGCTGGGCTTTTAGGAACGACTGCAGAGAGCTTTAAAATGAGTCATTCCCCGAGCCTGCAAAAGTTCTATTCTGGTGGATTCTGGGAGTTGTAGTCTCAAAGAGAAGAGTATTTCCCAGCAAACTTAGACTGCTGGTCCATTCATGATGACGGGCTTTTCATCACTCCAGGCTTTTCAGGCAGGAGTGCATCCAGTTCTCTCTGGTGATGTCAGGAACGTAACCACAGGCTTCTGTGCATAACACATGTGCAAACTCCCCCAGCTATGTTCTCAGAAGCAACAGAAAGACCCAGGTTCAAATCCCTCCTTGGCCGTAGAGTCACGGCATCAACATCGTTAGGATCCTCTCCCCATGCAGAAAAATACACACAGGGAGGGAATCGTGTGCAGTATATGTTGGGGAAGAGCTGGACGGCTCAGTGGTTTCGGTCTCTGGCTGGTTGGGAGTTCGAGTCCCCCCCACTGGGCCTCCTTGACATTGGCTGGACTGGATGGCCCATAGGCCCCCTTCCCAGCCCTGCGGTCCTAAGGTTATTCATTATTATTAATAAAGAGTACGATACTGACACCCCTCTTCTGTGTCACTTTCTTATTTATTTCCATTTACCCAGGATACACCCCACAGCTCACTGCAAAACTGGGAGGTTGAGAAGTTCAAACAAAATCTTGTGAGACTCCAGACCAGAGGCTTGGGAACTCCTCGGGCCGCACATGGCCATCGTATCACAAATGTCCCATCATGTTGTCCGGAGCATAAGCCATCCTTTTCCCCTGTGGGACCACCTCCCAAATCTTTCGAGCAAGTCTATCTAGCAAAAACAAAAACAAAACCATCAAACGAGCCCCCGGCCACCATCCTGACCTTGCCAGAGGGCCGGAGTCACTCCCAAGGAACCACATCCAGGTGGCCTCCATCCCGGCTTCTCCTCCTTCGTTCTTCCTCATATGTGGAACTCATTCTCTGAGGGCCTACGGCACAGGTGGGCGATCACTGGTCCTCCAAGAAACCCCACACCCCAAAAGGAAAATTGGGGGTGAAAGGAGGGACGCAAAATTTCCCCTTGTGTTTTCTACACCCCCAGGCTCTTTCCTCATACTTGAAGGGGGGCTCAGCTCCTCCAGGGTTCCTCAGAACAGACCCAAAAAGACTGGAAACAGTTGAGGGTTCAAAGCTCCCTTGGTACCCAAACGTGGGTGGTTCTGCAATTGTTAGAAGGCAGGTGTACATAATTTAATGTATCTCAATTTTAGGGTGTTATGAGGGCTCTCCTCAAACAATGGCAACACTTTATTTGGCCAGTCAACGACAGATCAGGCATGGTCCAGCAGATCCTGGGCTTCTGGAGGCTGCCCACCCTTGGTTTATGGCAGAGTATTCTCCTCCCCATGCGCTGGTCATCTCTAGGCTTGACTACTGCAATGCTCTCAACGTGGGACTGCCTTGGAAGCTGCGCGGCAGCTAGGTTACCATTTGGAGGAGGGAGGTACAACCGCATCTCCCCAATCTTGGCACACCTGCCTGCTGGCTTCAATGCTAAATTCAAAGTGCTGGCCCTCACTGGTCCTTAATGGTTTGGAACCTCGTGACCTGTTGGAGCATTTCTCTTTCATAGATCGGCCGCCCAGGCCAACCTGTTCTACCCAGGTGGTCCACAGCTGTCGGTGGTCACGTCTAGAGAGGCCCAGAAAGCCACCCCCAGGAACTGGGCTTCCTCGATGACGGCCCCAATGCTTCTCGACATACACTACGCTCCTTCCCTCTTGATCTTCAGGA